CCTGATCATGTGAATCAGGTGTGTTGGAAGAAGGAAACATCTAAAACATGCAGGATTGCGGCCCTCGAGGACCGGAGTTCGAGATCCCTGCTCTAAATTTATTTGTGTAACAGAAATGTTTAATTGATTTTGACACTGAAAACACTCAGTATTAATCTGACATAATAAAAACTAATGAATGAAGCCAAATGAATATATTTTCAAATTCCTGTCACTTTGTTAAAGTTTGTTTTCATGTGCAGCAGCTGTTTGACCCACTGAGACTGTTTGTGTTGAGTTTGTTTGTTTCAGAGTCAGAGAGCCGTGTCTGTCTACAGTCGGAGGTTTTTGTACGGCGGCTCAATCAGGTTGTATCACTGTGGTACACGTTTGGTGGAGGAACCAGACTGGAAGTTAACTGTAAGTACATTTAACTCAAAAAATATTCTAAATTCAATGGTTATTAAACTTTATGTTATCGCCATTGACATTATTGAGCGTTTTTTTCTGGACACAATGGTTTAATCAAATTTCAGTAAATTTATGAGTTGATGTCTTTTGGTCTTCAGACTGAAACCTTCTTCAATTGAACATTTTGTCTCAGTGGAAATTACATTTGAAAAGCTTTGAGATTTTGATTATTTTTTAATTCTGTCTGAAGGTAATCTTCTCAAATGTTTTTAAACTTCAAAGTCGCTGATCAAGTATTTCTCATCATTTTGCTTGATCCGAATGAAAGATTTTAATTTCTCAGATCTGTTATGTGACAAATGAAAATATTTTTAAACCTCAGAGATTTATCTACGTCTGAGTTGGATGATTTGACAAGTTTTATTTTGTAAGTCAGTGGTTAACAACATTTATTTTGACTGAACAAAGCAAACTCACATCATCCAGGTCTTTCCTATTGTAGATCAGAAATTTTTAAAAGTTGAAAAACAATAAAAACATTCTCTATTTCTGTAAATTGTTTCAAATTGTACTAATCTAATTAGTTGTAACTGAACCAAGAATGCACAATTTGTAGAGTGAAAATGAAAACTTTAGAGGAACAAAAGCCATGGGAACATTTTTATCTTCAGTACTGAAACCTGTCTGTTGTCGTGGTTCATCAGTGATGCCTGTCTGTCGCCATGGTAACTGAGCTCAGAGAGGGAAGTGAAACCCTGAAGAGCAGCTTGATCCAAACTCCCAGTTTGTCTATAACATGTTCTGTCTCTCTGCAGTGGGTGACGTCCGTCCCTCCCTGACGGTGCTGCCCCCCTCCAGAGAGGAGCTGCAGCAGGGGAAGGCCACGCTCATGTGNGCTTTAAATTCTACTTTTGAAATTAAAGGACTGCAACAAAATTCTGTGATCTTAATTTTACACATGTTACTTTAAATAATGGAGATGCTCGCCCCTGCATAGTGGCAGTTGAAATGTTTTACTGAAATATGAATTTGTAACCAATATGTGCTCGCAAAAGGAAAATTGTATCTGTCTCAAAATTTACCATGAAACTAATTAATCATTTTTATCAAAATTAACGGTGAATGGGCTGGCTTATCTGTGGCAAACTGACTATGTCACAACAAGGAGCAGTTGAGGGAAATTTATTGGCAGAGTATGGCTTCAGTTGATGGCTTCAGCTGATATTAAATAAAGACAAGCAATGACAACTTGTCATTCTAAATAAAATGAGTTTATTGCACTCAGCAGTGACCATGCAGGTAATAGTAGTTCAGCACAATAAAAAGAACCAATCAGTTCTTACAAGTTTGTCTAAATAGATGTATCTGTGTGTGTAGGTAAGCGTGTCTACAGTAGGTGTTGTGTATGTGTGCTTGCCAGTTTCTGTTTAGTCTAACTGAAGGTTTTTGTACGATGATTTTTGACTGTGTGAACACAAGCTTCTCATTGGCACAGAATTTACTCTGATTCATCAGACAGAACTCCACTGATGGTCAGAGTGAAGTCAGTCCCTGATCCACTGCTTGAAGAATGATGTGAAATTGTCATGAACTCACTGAAACAGAATGGGTGGACACAATGGCGCGACACAGAAGGGTTCAGGCAAAAGGACAGGTTTTATTCTCAGGCAGAGGTGGGTAACAGGTAGTCAATCCAATCAGGCAGAGGTATCCAAAAACGGCAGGCAAAAAACAAGGTCGGAAGCAGAAATCTAGGTCGGAACAAAACAGACTGTGACTATGACTTGAGAACGCTGGTACGAGGACTGTGAAGTGCAACGAACTGGCAACGAGACTGTGAGACACACAAGGTAGTATACACGAGGTAATGAGGGGAGATGGGAAACAGGTGAGGGAAAGCCATCAGGGAGCAGGTGTGACGAGACAGGTGCAGGAAGTAAATGTAAGACAGAGACAACCGGTTAGTGATTTCAAAATAAAACAGGAAAGACAAGACATAAAATGTGCGCACATGAACAGAAACTTGACAGACATGACAGAAATCCCAAATTTTAGATGTTTAGCGTCAACAAGGAGCAGTTTAGGAGCCTGCTTCTCTTTCTGTTGATACCAGCCTAAATAGTCCTGCTTGTTATATACAAAGACCCTATTACTGGCCGTACATCTAATAGTGATGGATTCTC